TGTATTGTCAACAAAGGATAACAACAATAGCCTCACTTTAGTCCTAAAAGGAAGGTCTGGGGTTCAGCTGTAGGTAACTGCTAGGACATTAAGGCTGCTCCTTCCAAGGGATAGAGAGTAAAAGTAGGTTTGAATTCAGGTGTAAAAGCACTAGTAATTAAAAATAACAGTGAGGGATACTTCTGTGGATGAGTTAAAACCCTTGGCTATTTTCTCCCTATCATTTCTTCTAGGATAACTGAAAAGTCTTGAATCCATGCAGAAGTCAAAATGTATTCTTTTATTGAGGAGGCACAATTTGTTTCTTTCCACTGTGTCACAGGATGGCACCATTCACCATGACAACTACCCAGGGTGCTTTCCTGCTTCATAAAAAAAAAAACAAAAAACTTTTTTAAGGCTGACTTTTTAAGAGGGATTTCTGATGTCTTGGTATTGTAATATATGAAAATATAAGAGACAAAAATAGCAAGTTTGAACATGTCGCCCTGAAGCAGCAAAGCTCATGGATGCTGACAGAGCACAGAGATAAAAGATGCTTTGCACTGGTTATCACTGACTGAATGTTCTTGTTGGCAAAGCCTTTGTTATCAGAAACTTTCTATGACAGTCACAGCACAGCTTGAGAAGCACAAACTCTTCTGGAAGTTCACAGTGCAGTGGAAGAAGAAAAATCCATTGGTAGTGACACAAGTCAAGAAGCCAATTCTTTATTAAAAGATCCTTTAAGTGTTCTTTCCAGTACGGACTTACTTGCTCCACTGTGGCTTTGAGTTGATGAAGATGAACAAACATTAATAAGAAAGAGACAAATTGGACACCTCTATACAATTAAGTAGATGAATTATAGATATTGATTACACCAAACATAAACATCAAACCACAAGAATTATACACAGTCCTAAGGCTAACTATGTAACAAATGTATGCAATTGCACTTAAGTCTGTAGAAAGTTGACACATGCTGCTGCCCAAGCACTCCATATCCTGGGTCACGAAGACACCCACTGGGTATTCTCTGCACTGAGAACAGCAGCTTCGGAGCCAATACCCAGAGTGTTACTATGCCATACATTTAGCTTGTTGTGAAAGTGACCAAATGGGACCAGCAGTGCCCAACTGAATTTATTCAAGAAAAAAATGATATTAAACCAGTTTTACTGGTATCTGCTGTTTTGTGCTTTTCCCTTAGCTAGAAACCCCAATGCCTTTGACCACAGTACACCCACCTGGGACAGAAAAGGTGATCTGATGCCCTGACCCTGTGGAAGCATCCTTTCTGCACCCACAGCCCACCCTGCTGCAGTGCCTGTACCTAGAGAGATACCACTCTTCAGGCAAGAAAATACTCTTACCAGATCCAGTGGAGTTCAGAATCCATCCCTGAAAGGTAGGAAAAGGGGCAAACACTCGTTACGGTTTGCTCAGTAGGTCACCCTTAGTGTTCAGTCTGTAATAAAAAGTGCCATTCCTTTTGTGAAAACAACAGTTGCAAGAGCAAGACAGGGACCTAGAGTGGAAACTGAGAGTCTGGTTTGTTTCATTCAAGTGCAAGAGACCTCTAATGATCCTTCAGTAAAAACCCTCTCTGATAGGCAGCTGCTGCTGTTAGGATGTTTTGCTCTTCGCCCTCAAAAAAGTTGAAAGGAGCTCTCTGCTAGGCAAGAGAACTATACTGGTCCCTGGGGTGTAAAGCTAGTTAGTTGCAGAGCTGCTATCGGCAGCAGGAGGCTTATTGACTAGCTAGAAGAAAACCCTGTCAATATTGTTATTCACTTAAGCTTAGAGCAAAATGGCTCATATCTTAGTTTTATTTATGAGCTGATTTATTCATGAAATTTCTTGGTACCTCCACAAAGTGCCTGTAAAATACTGGTGTTCAAATTCAGTACAGTCAGATGGTTCCACAGGTAAACTGCACTGCACGCTGAATTCTGTCATATCCTTTTTCAGGCACTGCCATTTCCATACTGGGAGACATCCCTTCACTGCAATAGGCAATGCTAAAGTTAGACCTGCTTTGAGCAGAAGGCAAAGCTAGATGATACCCACACGTCCTTTCCAATCCAAGTTTTTCTGCGATTGTATAAAGACAGTAATAGCAATCACCAATACATCTTTATCTAATCATAGAATCATAGAATGGTTATGACTGGAAAGGACCTTAAGATCATCTAGTTCCAACATCTTCTATTTTGCAAAGTTATGGATGGATCCTTCCTCTGAGAGGATAACTACTCTCTTAGAAGAAATAAAAGCCTCCAACCACTTTGTTCTCTTTGCAATCAGGCAACCAGATAGGGACAAAACAAAAAGCACCCCAAACCTTCGATGAAAGAAACAGCTCATTTCACATTAAATGTGGATCAATGTGTAGAAGCTGCTCTAACTGCTAGCTCATTGCTCAGAGCACCTGCTCTTCATTTGCAGTGTTTTTCACTAATGACATTTAATAACATGTCTCCAGCTTGGCAAGTATCCAGCAGCGCTCCAAAAAAAAATCAGTGCTTGTCACAAACACCCCCAGCACCCCTGCTATTTTCTGTCTGGATAGATGGCTATCCAGGGAACAGAAATGAACAGCATTTGGAATAGGACAGTGTCCATGGAGCTTGTCCAAAATCCCTTCAGCACCACTCAAGCCTGTCTAACACTTGACACCAAAGCCACTCCCACAGGAACTCCATCTCCAGAGCTTGACTCCAACCCTCCTCTGTTCTGGAGTAAGGTTGCTTTGTGCTGTGGTTAACCCTTTGCTACAAACTGTTGGACTCACTGTTTTAGCAGGCCACATCTTTGGCAGGAGAAAGGCTTTTCAGCTATGTTTTGCCATTTTTGCCACAAAAGGGTTGTGGCAGACTTTCCGCAGACCAAGAAAACCTGCTTTGGCTGGTAACTACTGAAAGTGCCCCTCTGCCTCAAGTAAGCAAGGTTGAGCCCAGCACTGTACCCAGCAAACATTCTGATCTCAGGTGAATCATAGAATGGTTTGGGTTGGAAGGGACCTTCAAAGGTCATCTAGTCCAACCCCTCTGCAATGAGCAGGGACATCTTCAACTAACCCCAGCCCTGGGGAAAAATCTGTGGAGAAAGGTGTTCAAGGCCAGGTTGGACAGAGCCTTGGGTGACATGATTTAGTGTGAAGTGTCCCTGCCCATGGCAGGGGGGCTGGAACTAGATGATCTTAATGTCCTTTCCAACCCCAATTATTCTGTGATTCTATGATTATTATAAACAGCAATGTTCTTGCTACAGAGGCCCAGTCAACAGCATCCAATTTACATATACCAGCTCACAAGCTCTTTGTACTTATAAACCAAACACACGCATTGTATACACCAAGTGATGTGACAAAACCAGCATACTCTCTAAACACTGCTACTTACTCCTGTGAGTACAACACTGCTCTGCTGGGTGCCCCTGGGCCTTCTGCCAGAGGCAAGGGAAAATACATGGAATGACTGCCTAGGCTGTATCCTGGGCTAAAATAAAAGGGCTGAAAGTAATGAAGACACTTATTTCACACTGGAAAACAAGAATCAGGCCAGGCCTCTCAAATATTTTTCCTTACTGCAAGGTTATTTCTATCAGGCCACTTCTCTTTCACTTTTTTGTTTTGTTGTTTTTTACAACTGTGCAGTTGGAAACATCCATAGATAGAATGAAAAATACTGGGACAAGCCTGAGAAGAGCTCATATTGCATTGCAACAGGGTGACTCGAAGGCCAGAGGAGCTGCATGCCTGATGTGGAGCAGAGGAAGGAGATCTGAATGAGGCACACTGAAGCAGATCTTCACTTGCTACCAACATATCACCTGCAGTCTGTGCCACAGCAGCAATACAAGCTGGCTGAGAAAGCTGCCCCTGCCATGTCTCACTGGACACAGACTCCCTCCAGAGAGGGAAGTAGAAACACTTCCTTTAAGTTTAAAACTACTTTCTAGTTTTTGAATATCTGACACATATTAGAAACAATACCCAAAACTTAGAAAAATTACCTTATGTTGTTATAATACTCTCCTTTCTCTAGCTTACTTGCTCTGAGCATTTTACAGCCTCCTGTATACCATGAAGAGACACAGGAGATCACGACTAACAGAAAGAACCTTCAGTGGAGGGCAAGAAATCCTCATATATTTATGAAATAATCTCTTCTTGCACATCCAAAGAACCATGATTACTAAATACTTTGAAATCAATTGGTTTTCTTGATGGGGAAAAAAAAAGATAAAAAACAAAAGTTCAAGTTAATGAGAGACTCTGGCTATCAAAAACGTGCAGCCTATTCCCTCCTCTGTGCTCCTGTCAAGCGCTGGCACACCAAAGAGAAGACAGTGCAAGGGGCTGCTGTGTGGTCCACAGAGACCATACAGGCTTTGGACCCAATGAAGAAACGTTCCCATCTGTGCAACAGCATGTGACTCCAGCCTGCTCCGTCTCCTTGGAGCCAGAGGATTGTGGATGATGATGATGAGAGTAATAAAGCCCTGCAAAGTAGCACTCAGAAAGTTCAGCTACACCAAATGCCACTGGCATCAGAACCTAAACACCTCTCCCTTATTTTTCACCCACTTCTGAAGCACAGGGGAGTTTTTGAGTGGCTGCACAACAGAGGAAGACAACAAACCTGATTTTTGTCTATCTAAGAACATTGTGCGTTTGTTCCCCCAAGTATTAATGTACAAAGAAGCCAGCATGTGGCTCAGACTCAGGCATACACAGCTACATGATAACGTAGGGTCCTGGGTAGTACAAGTAGGTATGAAACAATTGTGCACCTTCAGCCTTAGGTGAAAGCCCAGAGCCTCATCTATGCAAACAAAGTGATGTGCAGAGCTACTGGGACTAGACCCAAAGAAATAGCTGCCTCAATGCCAACTGGAATAAATAACCGCAGCAAAATGTGATCAGCCATAAGCAACAATGGGTCATTACGCACCATCAAAACCGTAGCATCTTCTATAACACTGGAAGCAGAAGAGATGGACAAGACACTGAGTCAGCCTATGAACAGATGGGTGTTTTCTCCTGTAGCACACTGTGCCCAAATTAATGGCAGGAAAAGATAGCTGTGGCAGGTCTTCATGCCCACCTCCCGCTGGAAGCAAAACTGCGGCTGAAGGAAAAGTTGATCTCACCATTTTTGTACTTCCCCCACGCTCCAAATGGCACTATGACAACTGTGCTGTTGTCTTCAGTGCCAAACTGTATTGCCTGAAAGAAGAAACAAGCTGTCAGCATAACTACCTTGTTTGGAAAAGGAAAAAAAGTGTCTGGGTCCACATGGGACAGCATGCCCTGAGGCTCAAGAGTTCCTTGCCCCTTCCCAGCCCTGACACTCCATTCTGGTGTGCCCCAGAGCTTTCCATAGGATATGCCACCATCCAGAACCCTGGTGAGAAACTGGCCATTTCTGTTTATGCTGATCATGTATTCAGCACAGGAATAAACTGCAGTTGTTGTCCCATGCAGTTCAGTGGATCATCAGCTAAGCAAGTTAATTGAAATGATGCCTACCTGGAGAGGATGTGGCAACACCCAGGGTAAGGCAGAGGCTGGGTGGTGGCACTAGGGAATGTCTCAAGCAGTGTAGTGCAATTTACTTGAATGTGTGGCTGTACGCTTCATTTTATTAAAACCAACCAACCAAACAACAACAAGCATTTGATGCCAAAATGAGCCCTGGTATTACCTGCTCAGTAACAACGTGGGCAGCTTCAGTGGGATCATGGCACTGGCTAATGAAGTCACAGATCTCCTGACTGTTCACCATGAAGTTAATACCATCTGTAGTGAGGACCAGGAAGCTGTCATCGGCATGCTGCAACTGCAAAAGCACACAGTATGCACAACAATGGAACAAGTGCTGCAAGGCAAATGAACTGCCTTAATTTATAGTACACCCTGTTGCAAAGAAACTTTTCAGGAGATGCTGTGGGCTTTCCTGCTTTGTGTGCAAGCACTAACAGGAACCTCCAAACCCTTGGCTAGCCAAAGGCTGCCCCTTGAATCCTCAGGTGTATCCATCAGCCATACAGACTGTGTTGCTTGTACTGGAGGAGTCTGAAGGTGCTTCCAGTTCTAGGAAGCAGCGCTCTGAATACACTGAGGCCAAAAGACCAGATCCATACATGACCCAATAAAAAAAATGGCTTCCTTAAGGAAGGATTTCAAGAAAGACATGATAGCACTGCAGACTTCTCCCTAAGCCCCCCAAGTCTAGCAGGTGGCATTTAATTAGGACCAACTAAATATAAGTTCCCCAGGACCTGGGAGTGGCATTGCAGAAAACTAACAGAAGAGCCTTCCTGCAAATGTGAAGGCAGATATGCTGAATACCTTCTGAGTGGTCAACTTGTTTTCTGGACAACTAAGGTGCATGCAACTGCCTTTTTCTCCTCCCTTCCTCCTAAGAGGATAAACCTCTACGATTTTTTTGATGAGAACCCATTCATATCCCACCTAGTTCTCAGTGATGGTTTTATATCGGCATTTACATCAAAACTATTCATTTGACCACAATACCCAAACAGACTAACACCTTTGTATTTCAGTAATAATGTGTTGTCTTTCTTCCCTCATGCTGTATTGCATTGTGAGAAATGGGATTTAGAAGTTGATCTGGTTGAATTTAGTATCAGGGCCAGATTTTCTCTCCTGTTAGTGTTAATCTGAAATGACTTAATTAGAATTGGTCTCCAGTTACTTCACCACAAATAAAAACCAGTGCTTGGCCATCAGGCATCACCTGGGCATATCATGTGAATACCACCACCTGCATCAAATACCTGTGGTGTCCCTTAGTCTGAGTGTTGCTGCCCCTGTAAACCAGGACTTCTTTTACCTGAACCCTTTTTGTTTCTGGCTGGGCTATCACACCACTGTTTTTAAGATCCAAATCTCCTATGCTCCGTGTCATTGCAAGTCTACCATTCACATGAGGTTGTCCCACGCTGTTCCAGGTAATGAAGCCACCACACTTCCTAATCCTGTCCAGAGGCACAAAAGAAAAAGCAAGTATGAGTTACTGCTTCACACCGTTACCCCTGTCTCTATCTGCAATTTCTGTCACTAGCTACTGACGCAGAATGGGGTATGAAGGACCTAAGCTGGTAGACTGAGGGCTGGCTTTAGCTGTTTGAAGGGTCCACAGAAGGGATGTGTCTTGGCAAGCTGAATACTGACCTGGCCACCATAGTGCATTTCTGCAGGTCTTGTCTCTACCTTGGCAGTTTTGGACAAGTCTGAGCCAGGTAGTCACAGCTCTGTCCCAAGTCCTAGCTATGCTGATCTGACTGCTGAGACAGTTCATACCCAAGTCTTAGCTATGCTGATCTTACTGCCAAGACAGTTCATACTCATGTAGGGCTTTCCATATCCCCAGTCCTCTAAATGGAACCACGTGAATTAACTGGTGCTGTGCTGCTTTCTGCCCACTCAGAGGTGATCTCGGGGCATTATGTTCAACTCTCTGCTTCCTTCCAGGCCCAACCAAGCAGCAGAACATCAGCACATCCTGACTGAGGCCCTGCCCTGGGAAGCCATATCATTAGCTGACAGGTACCTTTCCTTCTCTTCTTTTCTTTCTGGAGTATGGTCAGTGGTGAGTTTCATGGCCTTCCCCTTTCGACACAGCAAAGCACGACTGTCTCCCACACTTGCCACAACTAGCTCAATACCATCCCGGAGCAGAGCCACTGTTGCAGTGGTCCCAGAGTTCATCAGAGTTGCTATAAATGTCATATCAAAGAGAGAGGTTTTAGCATAGCACTGCCTCAAAGTACAGGACCATTTATAACAGTTCCAATTGGTAAAATGAAGACAACTTGTGCTCTATGTTTACCAGTAAGTAACTGCTTTTACATTTAAACTAAATCTACATCCAAAAAAAAAAAAAGGAAACATGCATGTAGGACTGGGGAGAGAGAGAGGAATTGGAAAGGATGTTTCTGTGCAACAACATGGCTCCATGCAAAGAGGGCAAGTGGAATAAAAGCAGTTACAAGGTACAGTGGCTTTTTTTCAGCTTGTAGCCAAATGTTTTTCTAGCTAGCTAGAAAAACTAGCTCACCTCAAGTTACAGGGCTATCACCCCTGCCCCTGGGCACAGTGACTGTATGGATGATCCACCATAAAGCTGATGGCTCTTCCCTTCTGTTAGGTGGTGAAGTGAGCAATTGAGTAATAGTAATTGTAGCTCCACATAGTTCACCAGAAGAGAAATACTAGATCACTCCTTTACACTAGCCTGTGTCATCCTCCCATTGCTGTCAGAGTGGTTATAATCTCCCTCTGCTTCCCCCAGTCTTGCCAAGAGATTAAGGGTTTTCAGCCAGCAGATCTCTGGCTTTTTCAGAAAGGGACGCTGCTCTCCTCAGACCCTGTCAACTTATTGGAGATCCCAGTGCAAAGGTGAAGTTGGATTCTGCCTCTTGCCTTGTGCCTGCAAACAGCTGGCAGTGGCTGTCATCTGGGCAATCTGCCCTGGGCACCAGTGGGATCTGTTTACAGGGGCGTAAGTGTACATAGGGGGGCAAACCAGAGCCCTTGGTGTTGCCTTCTTTCTCTTACAGCTCAGCTGACTGAGTTCAGAGACCTGAGTAGCTTAACTGATGCAAGTAAATTTAAGGGCTTCTTAAGTTTCTACAACAGCAGAAACAAATAAGTGCTTGAAAAGGAGTACTATGAGTCTGCCTTATTTCAGAAAAGATCTGTAGTTTTATCTGCAGGGAAGGAAATGCCAGAAGAACCATCCAGCTTTCCTTTCTTGTTTGTTTTTTTGAAAGGAGCAGCCTTGTTTTACAGTTAGCATCTTCTGTTCCCCAAACTATGCAAAGGTAACCCAATGAAAGGTGCCTGGAAAGACCTGAGCTATTACAGTAAAATATCTGGCATTTGCTATTGCCCAAAGCACATTTGTATTCACAGCCAGTGCAAATCCCCTTGAAAGGCCCTCTGTAGGTCTCCTGCATTCTGGGCTTTTCCAGTTTTTCCAGGTTTTAAAAGCAAGCCAATTCAAAAGGCATTTTGGGCTAATTTAGGAATGAGAATCCCCAGTTACATTCTTGTTTTCACATCACTAACAGTTAAAGATCTTTTTACCACCACTTCAATGCAGAGCTCAGCTACAATTATGTTCACTCCTACCTCTGGCACTGCAGCCATGACTCTGGGGAGGTGGATGGATCTGAGACAGGACTGCATGTTTGAGCCCAAGGAATGCCAGCCAGTCCCATCTCTGACCAGTTGCCAGCAAACAGTGTACATACAGCACAACACCCTGTGTACTATGGAAACAGAAATGAGAGTGCTCTGGGATTTTGGAGACCTCCTTCCCCAACCCTGCAAGGTCTCAGCACCCCTCTGTAAGTAAAACAGGGTTGGGAGTAAACTGAAGTGCAGAACCCTGAAAGATGCATTGAGCCTTGTTATGCAGAAAAAGCATGGTTTTGATGAATCAAAAAAAACTCACAAAACAGTCTAAACTAAGCTTGTGTTATTATTTAAAACAGGTATTATTACTGCAATGAGGTCTTGGTTTAGCTATAGACTTAACCAACATGTCAATCATGAACATCAACCACAATGACTATGGTCAAATCTTGGACTACATTATGGCTGCCATGCAGGCTATGATATTCGAACTATTTAGATGCCAGTAACTTCTGACTATTCAGGTAAGCACTGACATCCTGTTTCTAATTTGAAGCAAGGTCTAGTCCAGTGCAGGATCACTTTGAGGCACATTATGAAAGCAAGATGCTAACAAGTACCAGTGCAATTAGAAATTTTAGTAGAACCAGTAAAATACCTGTTTTAGCCAGCAGTTAAAAGAATTGAAATGAAGAACATAAGTAAAACTATCTTTTTATTTCACAGAAAATATGTTTTATTTAGACATTAAAATTAATGCAGAACTGCTACTACTCTCCCATTTCATTCCTTGGTTTTGGAGTTATGTTGAAAAACAGCAGTTTCTGAAAAAGTTAAGATCTGTAGTCTTTAGTTCATAAATGGCTAGAAACATTTGGATATTGAGGTGAAGCTGCATCTTTCAAGTGCAAACTCTCTAAGAAAAGAGCCGTGATTACAAAATCAAGGGATGCTACTAAAGAACAAGTCAAGGTAGTGCCCAGAATTGTGGTAATAGCTGTACTGACTTGAGGTTTACATACATCTATTAGTTAAATAGCACTCCTGGAAAAAGAAATGCTGCTCATGCTTTCTTCCTTGGAACACATTAATGATCCGGGTGGGAGTGCAAGAACTAGTAGCTTGGCTTACAAGCCTTACATGATTTCTAGCATAGCTCGAAAACACAGGAATGATGATGGGATAACATTTCTAACACTTTACTACAACTGCTGCTAGGTTATTTATTAATATAAAAATATGTTGCATATATATATTGGTTTTAACAATTAAAGAGTTTATTTTGTTTTCCTGACAATATCACTATACAACTAAGATCTTTCAATAGGTTCTTAACACTCACTGGACAACTTCTACTGCAAGTCATCTCAACTAATGTGACAAAGAGGATGTGGGAACCTTCCAGTAGTCCAGGCTAGGAACCGCTGGACTGCTTCACCTGGGACAAAATTAAGCAGATCTCTCTTTCCACTGAAGCCTAGCATATAGTGTCGAGGGCCTCCAGTTCTAGAGCTGCTGACCAGGTACAGTGTCTGCCACAAATAACACGCACACAGAGGCAAATAGAAAATTCACCCAGGGACTTTGTTCAAACAAAATAAACCTGCAACACTGGAGATGAAAGAATAAGAGCTGCAGAACTAGAGACGTAGTCACTTTTGAGTTTGCCTGCACTTTTCTGCAGGTCATTTAGAAGTACTTGAGGCTTGCACATGCATCTTTTGCAACAGATAAATCAGCCTTGGTATTTCTGGGGAATTAATACCATTCTCGCCTTTTTGCTAAAACTGTGTGACAAAACCAGTTTAAATCCAGTCAAATAAAAACTCATTTTTTGTTGGCTTTTTTTTTTTTTTTTTCTGTGGAGGTAAGTAACCAACCCACAAATCAACCAAAGCACTTTGTCAGTGCTACAGGGCCAGCTGTCTCCTCCATGGCAAGAGTGGCCACTCTAAACATCTTCAGTACAGAACATGGCCCAATCCATTTCCTCAAGGTTATTTATGTATTTTTATATATATATATTCACATATAACACAAAAATGGGGAATTCAAACTAATGCCACCTAAAATGGGCCCATCTTAAAGGCATTGAATAGAAGTACATTAATTGTTCTGTCTCATGGGAAAATAAACACTCCTTTAATAGTGTAATTAGTATCTTCAAATTTGATTAGGTAATAATCAGGATAAAAAGGCTGCCTTTGTAATGGCTTTATGATACATTCAGGTAAAATTTCTGCAGCTCTCCCTTTTCCTCAGTGTTGCAGGTTAACATATTCAAAGAAATAAAAATCATGTGTGAATGGTAACTTAAAAAAACACAATACCAAACCCCACTACTTTTTAAATTTAGTTATTTTAAAACAACTTTTGCTGTTTGCTCAGCACAGTAAGATTACAGGAGTGCCTTTCAAACATAGACACTTCAGTTAATACCTGGCTATGTTTTAATAAGATGGCTATTCCAGAAGTGAGTGGCCAATGTTATCAGAGTTTGATGAACTGAATGTGGAGGTCGATGGAAAGACTCTCTGTTGTCTTCTCCAAGTAGTGGATTACAGTGAACATAAGCAGTAGCAGTACCTTGTAGGACAGCACTAGGCCAGGAGAGGGTTTGTCTTAACATTTCTCCAGATAGATGCTGAAATTTGCTGAAGCATAAAATTCACTTTCTTATTTCTGTCCTTGTCAGGCAAAGCTGTTCGGCCTTTATAATTCAGATTTTATAGCTGGTTCAAAATATCAGAAAATTCTGTCCATCTGGGTTAACAGCTCTCCCATGGATAATGACCTATTTGTTAGACAGCTTCCTTTGCTATGTCCTATGTCTAAATTTAGCAGTAATTTAAAAGTGGATATATTTGAATATGTGGAAAAAAATTAAAATACATTTTTTAAGAGATATCAAACACCATATTTCAAGGCTCAGGCATATCTCTAAGCTGTTAATGATTTGAAAGGATTTAGGTGGAGGACAGATTATCCCACACCTGCCTACAGTAAGTTTCTTATGCTTTTGTGTGAAACAACAGGTACAGATCACTGTCAGAGGGGATACTGGACCACTCCAAAAGCACTAGTGAACCTCACGCCAGATGTAGCTAGGTGCTCCAACAAGGCACATCTCTAGTACTGTTAAATTTGTGCCATTATATGAGCTTTTTATCCTTCAAATAGTAATATAGACAATGTGTCGAACTATATACATGCAATTTTGGCTACAAGGATTTGTCCCAGGACTTACTTTCCTTCAAACCCAGGCACACACTTTCAAGGCTGGTCCTGTGTTAGTAGAGACCTGGACATTCTGAACATGCACTGAGGTTTTTTTTGCAGATATAGTGAAAGAAGTGAACCTGATGGGGTCATCTGCTGGAACAAGACTAACCTATTATTTTCCACTTCATCAGCTATGGCTGCGTTTCACAAGGAGGTCAGTCTTGGGGAGTATCCAGCATACCCGTTACCCAGTGTTACACAACCAGCCATATTTTCAAGATACTTCAGCAACAGCTTGACTGTCACATCTAGAATAGCCACAATTATTCAGAAATTTTGCTGGCAAACTGAATCAGTTTGGAAGTAGGCTTCTAACAAGGATACATACCGAGCATTGAAATTTTATGTAATTTTCAAAACAGCAGCAACAACAAAAATATCCACACCAAGCAGTCAACATAATACTTAATTATTTTAACAACAGATATGCTAAAAGTTTTATTTGTTCAGAAATCCACACTTGTCTTTGCATGCTGTTACTCCACTCTGCTTTACAGCTTGGTTTTCAGCTGGGCAACCAGGCTGGGCTCCTGCAAGAGCTTGCAGGTGCTCAGCCTACCTGAGAAACACTGAGTGCTTGCCAGAGTGTGGCCCTGGCAGATGTTTGGCAACGCTTTTGCCCTCTATTTTGCTTGATCTCAAGCTTTTTTAATGAATCAGGTTTGTCCAGTATCTTGGTAACTGTAGTGTAAATTTGCTGGCATTTGCATTATATTTCATTAAGCAGTACCAGTTAGTTAAATAATATGAAAAAAAAAAAACTATAAACAGTTGAAAAACACTCAACTTGCTGCACAATTTGTCTGTCAGGTAATGTTATCCATTTCTGTAAGTCTCACATATGAAATGCTACAATCAGAAACCATTTTCAGAATAACAGAATAATATACCAAGTACAGTTCCCAATCCTTCTCCTCAAGGAGCTGCTCTGGCACTGAACAGAGGTCACTTCAACGAGCCAAACCAAGAGCTACTCTACTAACAAAGGAGCAGGGAGAGGGACAAATATAACAGATCTTCTTGTTAGTGAAAGGTCCTGGTCCAGGGAAGTACGTAAGACTGTATTTACATGTCTTACTAAAACTGGGCTTTTAGGAAAATGTATTTGCAAGGAGGCTCTTGAATAAAAAGCACATCTGCTCTACTGATGAGCTCATGAGTTTAACTAACTCACCCCATAGATCAAAAGTGACTCTGGACTTCTTTACCACATTTTTTTAAAGGAGGATTCTGGTATAAAATAAAAAGGGCTATAACGGGGAAATGAGCTATATAGATTTAATTCCCCTTTCTTAAGGGCTGCAAGAATTTTTTCCCTGATACCTTATCTTGTACCAGGTAAGGGGAAAGACTCATATCCCTCACAGTGCTGCAACAGTCAGGCTACTGGTCCTGCCAAGAAATATTTGAATCTAAATACATTCATCTAGCAGGTAAAGTGCAGGAAGCCACTCCATTACTTGACTGTATATTCATTGCTTAAGAAAAGTAGCTTGAGAATACAGTATCACTTCAGTCCCTAGAGTGGTTGTTGGTTTCAAGTCCTTCTTGGAGAGAAAACTTACATAGTTTTTGTTCTTCTGAAAATTACCTCAGTCATTTTGCCAGCACCTGCACCAGCAATGGGACAGGATGTTTTGTTTTGTTTGTGGTTTGGGTTTTTTTGTGTGGTTTTGGTGGTTTGTTGGGGTTTGGTTTTGTTTTGGGTTTTGTTGGTTTGGGATTTTGTTTTGTTTGGTTTGGTTGGGTTTTTTTTGTTTGTTTTGGTTTGTTTGTTTTGGTGTTTTTTTTTTTAATTGGGTTTGTTTTGAGGTAGGGAGTTTGGTGAGTTTTTTACTTTTTTTGTTTGGTTTTTAAGACTGGCTAGACTGACTGTTTAAATTGTAACCTATGTCTAAGGAAGCTCTTGTGACAGAACTCAGATGGGGACCTCTATCTCCCTTCTCAAGGGAGCTCTCTATAAGCTCCGGTTGCTGGAACTGGAACTTCAGATGCGCTTTGTCCCTAGACACATATACAAGAACCTGATTAACAGCCAGGACTATGGAGTCTAAAAGGTCTGGTGCCAGCTTTACCACAGCCTTGCCACAGACAACCTTGTTTCCTCTTCACTGCTTTTTTATCCTGTCACACTCAGCTACTCTTGTGATTCTGTTTGTGCAGAAGCAATATCAATTGTATTAATTTTGGCTTATGTTCCTCCTCAGGAAGGAGGTTAGAAAGGGGAACTTTTCTTTTGACACTGTTGCTTTTAACCCATAGGAGTAAAAATTAAAAAACAAAGCAAAACCCCCAGAAAACCAACATCAAAAATCCCCCCTCCAGATTCCTCACACAGTAGTTTTGCTCCTTGCAAATCTAAACCACTCGTTACTAACTTGATATACACTCTGCTTGACAGAATCACATTAGGATGAATTCATTTATGATTATGTTAACATCCAGATTAATAACTCCCCCAGTAAATTTGATATAGACTTTTATAGCTTTTTCATCTTAAGGAGGTAAAACATAATTGTTTCATTTTGCAGTAAGCTATGAGAGCAAGAGCTTATGTTAAATAAAACTGTTTTCAAGCATTTTTCTGGACATTTTACTATAAAACTACTGAGCAAATAAGAAAAACCTTTTGCTCCACACCATACGAGTAGAGTATTTTTTACCTACCATCAGGAGACAGATGAGCATGCCTTTCATATGCTTTGTTGATTTCTAGAAAAGCTTTCTTCAGAACATTTTCCAAGTTCTCCTCCTCGGCAAGAAATTCTCTGGAAACAAACAAGCGAAAATAAGATTAAGCTTCTTTCCAATACATCTTGATCAGTCTTTTCTGTAGCCTTATCTCCTCTGTGCATACACTGAGTACTGCTGGACTTCAGTGAAGGGTTAATAGACCTGCACTGGAAGCATAATTCTGTAATTTTGAAAATACATAAATTCTTCTTCCAACACCCAGGCATGTGACATACAGATACAGAAAGAGTGCATGCAAGAAGTAGGTCAGCAATCACAGTGCCCCCATCTGCAAACAGTCAGTTCACACTCTGTCTGTATTCCCAGTCCTTTCCTGGAAGGTGAGTACAATCGTATTTTCCCCTCTTGTCTTTGCGGGCTTGCTCAATGGGGCAGGCACCATACGAAATAAGTAATTCATAACATGTCTGTTGTAATGGGCTATTTCAGTCCCATGTTCCTGCCGTCCCATTGGGCTAGGTGGTTCTATAACCTAAGGAGAATTAGTAACAATGTATGATGCACTCACTGGTTGCCCTTCAGTCCTAAGGAAGGAATCTTTACTGTAATTCATTTGACATGTATTCACTTGATGCACACTTACTTCATATATTTTTCCATGTACTTATCACAGAAATCAGCTGCTGCTGCCCCACCATGTCCATCATATACTGCAAAGTACAGGACATCCTTTGTCAGCTCGGCATAATGAAACCGGTCTTCATTTTCCTTGCGTTTCCCAATATGGCTACTGCAGCCCACATTGGCCAGGCTTACTTTTGGAATTGGTTTCCCATACTTTATGCTTGGTGGGAGGAGAATAGGTTCATCAATGCGATTGTCCCAGATGCCAAAGGTATCCCATGTGGTAGGTCGCCCGCTCCCATCTGGATCGAAGCGGGAAGCACGATGCTCAGAGGTGGAGCTGTAGCAGGCAGTTGTTGGACGCTTCTCGTCTTGCAAGAGGCGGGATGTCAGCACAGCTCTCCTTCTTACTTGATACCCACCATTCCGTACCAAATTAATTAATGTAGTTGTTGACATAACTTGTCTTTGCAGAGATTTGTAGGAATAAAAGATCTGCAGCTGCTGGAATACCTTCTAAAACAAAGAGAAAACTGATCAGGAAACAAGAAGCACGGAGAAGAATTTTCAGTTACATCATTCAGGAAACAATGTCACCCTTGGAGCCGTTAATCGCGCATAGCACAGCACTGCCTAGAAGAAACTAGAGCTATCTGCATGACTCACTGAGAAACAATCCTACACAGACCAGCCCACATCTAATGGGGAGTACTGCAGACAGATCGAGGTAAGACATTTCTGCTGGCCACCCGCAGAAAGATATCCTGCATTTTCAAATGTTGAAGGGGTTGTGCTGGAACAAATGAGAGTGATAATGACTTTGCTGCATGTCAGCTAAAATATGAGTATGTAAAAATACGAGGTAAGGTTGTGAAAATGAGCTTATCATGCATGCTCTTCAGACAATAGCTGAAACATCTGCACTGTGGCTTCCCAAGGTGAAAGGAAGGAGAAATATCTTTGCTTAAAGAGGTTTTTTTCATTTGCACATGATATTCAGTTCTGTACTCTTCAACAGAGCTCAAAGCTCATTGCTTTACATGCTCTTGGTTTACCTTTCATGCAATATTAGATGAAGAAAGGTTTCTTTACTTAGTACTTGCAGAGTAAGTGTCAAGTTGATAAAAGGCCAGATGTGCTGAGAATCCTTGTTATCGCACCAAACAAATACGGGCTAAGCTACCAGGTGAATGGAACTGACCACTTGGAATTTTAACATTTTCCATTTTAGTAAGGGGTGACATAAACATCAGATCCCCATTTCAGTATACTTACAGGTATTTAAAAACTCGTTTACTTCCTTGGGTTGCTTTTTCTTTTCTGTTACCTTTGACTGGTGATAACTGTATGTTAACTTCCTTCTGTGCAACACAGCGTGACCAGGTTGAAAGCCTGTCAATTAACAAAACCTGCACATGATTTCACTTCTGTCAGCTTGAAAGCAGAATATGAAACGTTAGGTATCTTTTCATTTCCCAGTATCCACAGCATGAATCTGAAGATTAATCCAAAATCCCAAGATAATTAATGTATTTGTTCCCTATCAAATTCAGCTCTCAAAAGGCCTTTGTTTTTTTCAGGAAAGCATAAGGATTGATGACAGTTTTGCTTTTCAAGTGCGTCTGCAAGTCATGAGTAGGAAGCTGATCTTTAGTTTCTGTGATGTAAATAGTTGTGCTTCCAGTCGGACATAAAACAGCCTGTGCTTTCCTAACTGATAGGTTTGCAAATGCAGGGCAAGCCTATCTTGGGAAAACAAGCCCAAGGTGTTGGGAGAGGGGGGCACTGGTGTTAAAGCCAAAGTCCAAGACAGACATTTGGAGGTGGATATCTGTCTTGAGGTGCTCCATCTGTGCCTGTTAATCTGTACAGCTTTAGTTTTCTTAATTTAAAGAAATAGTTCCTACAGTCAGACGCTGAAATGCAATGCTTAAAGCAAATGGAGCAAGTGATTAAACTGCAGCCCAATGTGCATGGTGCCCTTTTTACAGCCCGGCTGCTATTTGACAGATGGAAATTTCCCAGACTGCAAGAAGGGGGTGAGGGGAATAGAAGAAACCCGGAAGAAAGAGAAGGCATGCCTGCTGCCCCAGGGGATTAGATGTATTCTAAAAAGGAATTTTAAACTCTGAGCACGTATAACTGCTCTTGCCCTGCATGCTTTCCAAGCCCCACAGATGTGGGTAGTACTGATATCTCTGTATGTTAAGCTCGTCTTAAATCAGAGGGGTTTTTTAAATCAGTGTCAATATTATCTCACCCATTGCCTGACTAATAAACTGCACAGGCTGCAGCCGTTTAGAGGTCTCTCCTGCTATTTCCTAATTACGAGTTAGCACCCCACCAGCTGACTAGGGCTGGCCTGGCAGCGCTGTTCGCTCCCCCGAGGAAGGGCTGCTGTGACACCAGCAGCACAGCTCTCTAACGCCGCCCTACCGCACCGGGAGCGCTGCCTGTGCTGTCCCCGGACTGCAGTGAGGGGCTCCGCAGAGCCGGGAGGGCAGCGCCGAGGCTGCTCCTCGCCGCCCCCCTGCCAGCCTGTCTTCACGGCAGATGGTGTCCATCAGTTCACTCCCTCCGGCCTGGCTGCCGGCCGCCCCTAGCAAGGCTCGTGAGGCTGCACCTGCCGCTGCCGGGAGGGACCGGTGTCGGTAAGCCGGAGCGGAGCACGCCTCCTTCCCAAATCACGCCGAGGCCCGCGCCGCCCAGCTCGCCCCCCTCGCCGAAAGGGGCGAGCGGAGGGAGCCGTTTCCCAGCCCTGGGTCCCCGCCCCGCTCCCCTCAGGGGCCGAGGGCACCTTCCCGCGCGCTCCCCTCCCCTCCCTTACCGCAGCCCCTGAGCCGTGCAGAAGCTAAACCTTGGTGCGGCCGCCGGGCTGCCCCGGAGGTGCGGCGGCCCCTACCTCCTTCCGCGCCCCGACAGCCGGCGGCGAGCTGCGCCCCAGCGGTGCAGGAGCAGAGCAGACACCGCTGGCCGCCGCCCGCTGGCAGGGCCAATCTGGCGGCGCCTGGGGGCGTGCCGCCGCGGCCCTGCCCTCTTCGCCTCTCCCAATGGCAACAACAGCTGCGGCCGAGCCTCCCCCAGCGCCCCCGCCCCGCCCGCTTCTCTGCCGGCCGTTGGCCCTGACGTGCTGCCGGGAGCCGCTCGGCGCGCGGGGCCCGCGGGAGGGTCGGTCCCTGAGGCGGCTCGTGCCGGGACCGTTACGAAGGCCCCGCCGCTGCCTCCTTCTCATAGAGCGCTGACCCGGCGCCGTCCTCTCCCCGCCGAGCCGGTGCCGTCCGGGTGGAAAGCCCAGCCGCAAGGACAGCAGGCCGTGCTGCAGCTGCCGCGGGCGGGCTGCTCAGGAGCACCTTGTGGAGAAGTGCTTATGTCGTTAAGGAGAAACATGGCGACAGGTTTAAAATGCGTCTGAGCGTGCTGCTCCGAGGCGGCTGTTGCTATGAAAAATCCCCACCGCCTCCTCCTTACTTGCTCGTCTCCAAGTGTCAGTTTGAAGAGGTCATTTTGCATGGCACTACTGGCATAGCCTTCGACCTCTGATGCAATCTGGTAAACGATATGGCTCTGATTACAAAAGCCTCTGAAGCACACCTTCCCACTGGCCTCGTGCTGTCCACTAGAGAGGAGTACTTGAGAGCAGAAAACAGGAGAAAAAAGCTGCTGCTGCGGTTTCCATAGGAGCTTAAGGAGGTCACTGCCAAATTTATCCTACATATTCATCAGGTAAAGGAAGACTTTTTGGGGTCTTTCTTTTTAATTTCAAGAGCATTCTGTCTTCTAACTTTCATTTGTGACTGACTTTGACCTCATAAAAATCCCATTAAAATGTGATACTGGACATGCAAATTTACAAACTGACAACTTCAATTTCCCAAATAGGGACTTCACAAAGACTTCATCAGTATTTCAGGAAACCAAGTTCTTTGGTCTCCTGACAGTGAGCACAGCTTCTTAAAAAGTGGCACCTATGGATCTTTGTCTAGTGCTGTTCTTAGGTGACATTCTTACAACGCTGCCTTTAATATTTATCATCTGCCTAATGACACAGTCATGTCACCTTACTGTGTTCTGAACCAAGCTTAGTGATAGCTCTGGCTGCAGTGAGCATAATATTGTGGAGTTTGGGATCCAGCTGAGTGCAATGAATGTTAGTACTAAGACAAAGGTTTTAGATTTCGGAAGAGCAAACTTCAGCTCACTCAGAGCCCAGCTGGGAGGGATTCCATGGGAATTTTCAGCGAGATCAATCAGCCTTTGGAATAATCTCCCCAGGGAAGTGGTGGACGCCGCAGTGTTGGATGCTTTTAAGATTCAGCTGGACAGGATGCTGGGACATCTTTTCTAGGTCATGCTTTGCCTTGGAAGGTTGGGCCACATGATCCTTGAGGTCCATTCCAACCTGGTATTCTATGAAATGATCTCTTTGAAAAATGAAATTATGTCAGCTGCCTCCCTGCTCTGTTAAGTAGGAGACAGTTAAGCAGTTCTGAACAATGTGCCTTGACTGCCAAATCCATTGGCTTCTGGACAGAAAAGCAGCAAGAAAACCCCTTATAGCTCTCACAGTAGAGGTCTACTTGTAGAAGAAGGGCTTAGGTAAGCATGGTAGCACCTACTAGGTTGTTCTGGTTTCCAGATGTATGGTGTCTTACCCAGAATTTAGAATGAAATTTAAACTTGTGAAACTTAATGGGGATAGTAAACACTGTCATCTATTGCTTCAGGTTGTTCCCTGGTTCCCATGTGTCCTCAGTGAGGCAAAGGAAAAAGAATGTTCTGTGGAAACCAGCTCTCCTGGCATCTGAAGGAAGTGTCAGGGACCTATATGACATTAGGCACAAGAGCTGAGAGACAATTTCTGCCCTTGAAAATTTGCTATGAAGGCCATCACAGAGATTATAAATGTTTCATGCTGAGCCTTTATGTGCAGTGGAACTACTCTTACATTTACAGGGTTTTGAAAGCTAAGTGGGAGGCAGCTGAAGAGGCAGGAGCAGGAATTTGAGGTGGCAGGAGGAAAGAGGCAGCAGGTGTGATAAGAGCATTGTGAGAAGGCAGCAGATCAGGCCAGAGCAGAATCATGAGAATGCCTGGGGTAACAGGTGGGGGCAGAGAATGGGGGAATAGGCTACAGTGCAGCGCTTGGTACTTTGAGGGACCTCTGACAGCACTCAGAGGACAGAAGGCAAAAAAAAAAAAAAATATTAGGAACAGGAACTATGTATTTTGAACAACATATTTTGTACTATGAAACATTTGGTTTTGACTGCAGTTAACTTGGAGTTTCCCCTTCCTTTGTTTTTTTTTCCTTTCTAAAGGATGAGTTTTCTATATTCCAGCTCTCCTAGCAAGGAATTTCTGCTCCTGCAAGATTACCTTTCTTGCTCTTAGTGCCTTTGGTTTTGCTTCTCCATCATGTTCCTGACCTTTCCCTCCCTTGCCACTTTCTGCTTTATTTTGTTCTTGTTTTCCTTCACAATTTGCACATATTATTTTTGGGATTATTTCTCTCCTGCTACTTTTCTTCAATTTTTTACTCAGCTTTCTTTCCTGTGTGCTTCCATGTCTCATGTGACTGGAAAACAATCGATGGGGGAGCAGGGGGAGTTGGTTGTCAGTGTGCTAGCATACCGTCCTTCCCAGAACTGTAACCGAACACAGCAGCTGTGGATAGAAAAGAAATGTCCATTGTATCCTCTATGTATTAGATCTCAGATCAAGCTAGAAGTGCAAACTGGTTCTGAATACTGTTTTTCTCATTAGCAAGATGTGCTTTGCAATGCTTGACATTGACAAGTGGGAGAAATTACTTGTCCACCATGCTTTCTATCCTCATAAGTGAAGAATTGTTCTGTATGGTATGCCCCTAGCTAACTATCAATCTGTACTCCCTAGGTTTGCTAGCAGATAAGAAGACACCAGAAAGCATCCTGTGATTGTGGCAAAGGGAAGTAGCCACCTTCTTAACACTGACCTTCTAATAATTGGCAATGGCTATCAATCTGCGTGGCACTTTTCAAAGGCAGCCCTTCAAGATAAGTGAGCTGATGTGCCTGGCTGCTGTCAGACCCCAAGTGCACCAAGAAGCTCCACAGGCAGCACCCCTGCTACCTCAAATTCCTGCTCCTGCCTCTTCAGCTGCCTCCCACTTGGCTTTCAAAACTCTGTAAATGTAAGAGTAGTTCCACTGCACATAAAGGCTCAGCATGAAACATTTATAATCTCTGTGATGGTCTTCATAGCAAACTTTCAAGGGCAGAAATTGTCTCTCAGCTCTTGTGCCTAATGTCGTATAGGTCCGTGACACTTCCTTCAGATGCCAGGAGAGCTGGTTTCCACAGAACATTCTTTTTCCTTTGCCTCACTGAGGACACATGGGAACCAGGGAACAACCTGCAGCGATAGCTCTGCGGTCAGGCTCGGTGGTCCTTGGACTGAGGCTGACTCCTGTTGCTGTCACCAGCTGGTCTTGCTCTCACTGTTTGAGTGCTATGGGGTATTGTCAGTGAGATCTCTGCCTTCCACACTGTCACCCTTATACCCAGCTTGCCTGTGCTGGTGGAGCAGCCATGCTTCTCCTTGCTGACAAAGACTGCACACAGTCCTCAGAGTGTGGGTGAAAAGTGCCTTCCTTCTTTCAGAGAAAAGTGCTTTTTGGCACTCTTGTTAGGTATTGCCCTTATTTAATAGTAGTGCTAACATTGAAACATGACTAGGAAAGTTAATGAGCATTCTGATTAGAAACAGGAAATACAAAATATTGGTTTTGGTACTGTTCAAATGGCATGCAATGCCCAATTTTCACACTTGTGCTCTGTACGGGTGATGTGACATCCCCATGTGCTTAGACCTTAGGACGTGATAGTCTTGTTTTCTTTGGTTATTTTACTCAACATGTTTCTGTCTTGTTGGGGACCCGTGACTTACACAGAGGCAGAAGGCATTCCAAAATGGGATGGTTATAGTGCAACTTGAGCAGATTCACAGAAGTACCCAGATCAAACTGCTGGCTCTAAACCAGTTCTCATTTGTAGACGGGAGTCAGCTGCACATCTGCTGCCACAGAACTCCTCTCAATTCAAATGATATGACTTGCTTCTGTCCTGGTAAGGGGGCAAATAAACTCCTGTATCTAAAGACTGTACACTTTCTGGGAAGGTCAGAGCAAAAGCGTGCCCAAAGGATTAGCTGTCATCATTGAAACAAAAGTCAGGTTTCTGTACTTAGTGATCCCAGGGGTGGTGGATTAATCTTGGTTAGCCGCCGGGCACCACCAAGCCACTCTATCATCCCTCCTCAGTGAGCAGTGCCAGCACTGCTTAGCAGTAGCCAGAATGTCGCTCTAGCTACCAATACAAAACACAGCACTCTGAGGCCTGCTGTGGGGAAAGTTCATCGCATCCCAGTCAGACCCAATACACCTGAAAGTAACATAATGGTTGTTTTGTTTATCCTGAAATTTTAAATGGCTTTTGAGTATTCAGATCGTTTATCTGAAAACAGAAGGGGGGGGGGGGGGGTGGGGTGATGAGCTTTTTTGTGCTCCTAGTGAGCAATCTGTCCTCTTAAATGCGGGAAAGAGTGAGTTAGAATGGAATGTTCCTAGCCCTTCACGCTGTGTTTGGCATTCCCTATTTACAGCATTTTAGCTGTACAAATAAAATTTGACCTTGAACTACTATGAAGTATCCTAAGTTAGAAATTGTGATACTTCAAAACGTTAGGATGTCAGACATGGTAACTTTGTATTAGAAATATGTAGTTTAAAAATATGATCTCTGGAATGGCAGCTCAATAGCATGGCTGATTTTGCTTCATTTATGTGACTTCAGTTTTACAAAGATAATATCCAAGATCAGAATTCAGTCGTGTGTCTGCTGAGAGGAACCACAAGCATACTTCTATCTAATGATTAGAGGATATTCCTAATGACCTTTGAAGAGCTGTTGTAATTTG